CTGGGCTCAGACAATCCACTCACCTCAGCCTCCCAAAGGCACGGGATTACAGGCTGAGCCACCGAGCCCGGCTGTGACTATTATCTTAGTATGGCACAAGATATGATTACGTTAAAGATCTTGGACTGGGCGTGGTGGCCCATTCCTGTAATCCCAGCACTTTGGGAGGATGAAGCAGGAGGATTGCTTGAGCCCAGGAGTTAAGATCAGGCAAGGAAACAGAGAGAGACTTGGCCTCTACAAAAAAAATACAAAAATTAGCTGGGCATGGTGGTGCATGCCTGTAGGCCCAGATTCTGGGAGACTGAGGCAAAAGGATCATCTAAGCCCAGGAGATCGAAGCTGCTGTGAGCTGTGATCCAACCTGGGCGACAGAGTGAGACTTTGACTCAAAAAAAAAGGAAAGGAAGCTTTCTTTGAGTAATAAAAATTAAAAGACTTAAAAAAAAAAAAAGAATTCAGGCCAGTTTCTTATAGACATCTCACAGTCTGGACTTAGTGAGCTGTGTCCTGACAGTGTCACTTAGTCTGTTCTTCTATCCTCTGGGCTGGAGGCCCTGGCTTCTTTTTCTCCATCACATTTATCAGCCTCTGACTCAGTGCTTTCTTCCTGCAGTCGTTTATTTAATCTGTCCATCCCTACCTGGATGTAAGTTCCATGTCTGTCTGGTTACCCTCAGTTCCACGTGTCTCCCAGCATATATTTGTGGAATGAATGAATCCATCCTATTCAGTGACCTTGTCCATCTCAATGCTATTTAACCCTCTATTGAGAAATTACTGTAATAATTGACCCTGTTTCTTAGAGTTTTTCACATTTTTTTGAAGCCTCAGAAACCTGAAAATATCTTTTTTTTAAAATTTGGACTCTCACTCCATCACCCAGGCTGGAGTGCAGTGGCACACTCATGGCCACTCCAGCGTTGATCTGCTGGGCTCTGGTGAGCCTTCCGCCTCAGTCTTCCAAGTAGCCAGAACTACAGGTATGTGCTTCCACGCCTGGCTGATTTTTTTATTTTATTGTAGAGACAGGGTCTCGCTAAGTTGCCCGGGCAGGTCTTGAACCCGTGGGCTCAGGCAGTCTGCTCGCCTTGTCCTCCCAAAGTGCTGGGATTACAGGCTGAGCCACCCAGCCCGGCCATTCTTTTTTTTTTTTTAATTATGTGTTCTCTATCAGCTAATCCTTCAAACAGCTTCGAGATAGGAGCTATTACTGTGTCTCTGTACCTGTTAGTAACTGGCGGAGTCACTCCCTGAGCCCAGGCAGCCTGACCCAGAGCTGGCTGAAAACCGCTCTGCTGAACAGCCCTCTCTGTTCTTACTAGACAGGCCCTGAAAACTCAAGTTTCCTAGCCTGCCAAAGCAAGCTCTGTAATCCTGCAGGGGCACGGGGAACAAGGCATGTAACCATCCTTCCATTCATTCAGCGCACGCTTGCTGAATGAGTGCTTCAGTGCAAGTGTTTAAGAACACAAATGCAAAAACATGATGTGTATTTTCTTTCCCAGATCTTTGCCTCCCTGAGATCGTCACTCCTAGCCTCTTCTGGAAGCTCTCTGAGAGCTGAGAAATTTGTTATCTCTCTTACAAGAAGCCTGCACAAGCACAAGGCCAAGACTTGGGCAGTATTCAGTGAAAGTCTTTCAGATTGCACTGCACAGTATACAAATTATGAATCAAACAATCAGATTTGTTGTTGGCTGGATTACATTTTCTTGGGAGATCAGATGCATTCCACCGAGGCCATAGAAAGAAAAGTGAAGACCAAGACACTGTGACAAATGCCAGCTATCTTGTAAGTGCAGATATTTTCAACTATCTTGGTAGCTCGAGTTTTGCATATATAATATCCTTTTCTACTAAAATTAACCAAAATGTACACAATCAGGGAATTGAGGGCTCCTGAGTGATTTTATGTATATTATATATGTGTGTGTACATGTGTATGTATGTGTGTGTGTTATATATGTTTTCTTTTTAAAGACAGGCTGGAGTACAGTGGTGCGATAATAGCTTACTGCAGCCTTGAACTCCTGGGGTCAAGCTATCCTCCTGCCTCAGCCTCTCAGTAGTTGGAACTATATGTGTGTGCAAACCACAACCAACTGATTCAAAACGATTTTTAGAGACAGGTCTTGCTATATTGTCTTAGCTGGTCTCAAACTCCTGACCTCAAGCAATGATCCCGCCTCAGCCTCCTGGGTGACTAGGATTAAAGGCACGAGCCATTATACCTAGTGATTGTATATATTTTTCATTACCTTATTCTTTCTTTGTATATTCCCAGAGAATATTTGCATATTCCTTGTTTCTTGCAAGAGAGTATGGTAAAAATGCCATTATTTTTGACTTTTGTTAAAATGCTCTCTTAGTTGGCCCCGTTGATTCATTCAACAGACTATGAGCACTTACTATGGGCCAGCTGGGAGGGCAAAAAGTGTGTAAGACTGGGCAACCCCCTCGGGTCCCCTCCCCTCCTCTCAATAAATCCTGCTTTCAATACAAAAAAAATGTGTAAGATCAGGCCCTTGGCCTCCTATCTCATGATGAGACCAATGTCTCCGCAATTAGACTAAGGTGCTGTGTGAGATGGATTGGGAGAAAGTTACGTGCTAAGTGTGGTGGGAACCACGAAGAAAGGAAGGCCCGGCTGGGGGTGCTGGTTAGGGGGTTGACCAAAGAAGGCTGTGTGGTGGAGGTGACCATTTTAGGCCAGACTTGGCAGGGTGAGAAGGGGTTGAGCAGGTGTACATGGAGGGCAGACATGATAGTCAGCAAGAATAGTATTGCTGAGGTAGGTGCAAGGCCAGGAGACTACATGGCTTGCTCAGGAAAAGGCAAGAACAGGAGTTTGCTGTAACTGGATCAGAGAGAATCTTATAGAGCCTGGTAGAATGTGAGCCTGGCCAGACTGGGGAGAGCCTTGAGGGCAGGATTAAGGAAGTTAGACTTTGTTCTGTAGGTGACAAGGAGGGTGACACCATCAGATCAGTGCTTTCCTTAGAGAAGTCACCAATCTGGCTGGGTGTGGTAGCTCATGCCTGTAATCCCAGCACTTTGGGAGGCTGAGGTGGGAGAATTGCTTGAGCCCAGGAGTTTGAGACCAGCCTAACCAACATAGTAAGACCCCATCACTAAGAAAGAAAGAGAGAGAGAGAGGAGAGAGAAAGAGAAAGAGAGGAGGGAGGGAGGAAGGAAGGAAGGAAGGGGGGGGAAGGAGGGCTTGGCGTGGTGGCTTTGGGAGACTAAGGCGAGAGGATTGCCTGAGCCCAGGAGTTCAAGACCAGCGTGGGCAACTTGGAGAGACCTCATATCTACAATAAATAAAAAAAGTAGCCGGGTGTGGTAGCGCACACATGTGGTTCCAGCTACTTGGAAGGCTGAGACAGAAAGATCACCTGAGCCCAGCAGTTTGAGGCTGCAGTGGCCGTGAGTATGCCACTGCACTCTAGCCTGGGCAACAGAGTGAGACTCCAACTTAAAAAAAAAAGAAAAAGCAAGAGACATCACCAAGCTAAGATGGAGTCAACTGGGAGCAGTTTGAGGGCACTCCGTAAAAACAGATCTAGGATTTTAGATCATGATAATAAAAAGTTCAGGGTAGAGAGGATGAGGTTATGAACTAAGGCAGAAAGAACGGGAATTAGAACAAGGGAATAGATTGCAGAGAGTTAAAGAAGTTCCATTTCATGGGGATGGATGATCTGTTACGAATGGGTGGTGAGGAAGGGACAACCTGGCTTGCAGATAGTAATGACTGACATGGACCATCAAATGTTTGCTCTGTGTCGGGTGCCTGTACACATTAGCTTATGTAATCCTACAACAGCCCTATGGGAGGGCTTGTGTTACTCTACCTTTTAGAGGTCAGGAGGTTGGAACTGCCCAGAGTGGAAGCGACACAGCTGGTATGGCATGTGAAGGTGGGAAGTGGTGGAGGGAGGAGGATTTGAACCTATGCAGCAGCTCCGCCAGCTGATTGGGTCATCCGTGCCGAGTGCCAGGTGGTTGGAAGGTAAAGTGGCCGCCCTGGGAAGTGGTTAATAAGTGGCAGATGCGGACCTGGAGCCTGCTGGAATCGCCTTCTGCTCATAATCAGGCTTTCTGGACACCACAGCAGGCTGCAGACGTGTGCTGTTTGGCCCATAGAATACTTTAAGACCATTTTCAGAACTGATTGCCAATTTTTAAAAATCCAGAGGTTCACATTAAAAACTGGGTTTCTAGCCGGGCTCGGTGGCTCAGCCTGAAATCCCGTGCTTTGGGAGGCTGAGGTGAGTGGCTTGCCTGAGCCACGGGTTCGAGATCCACCTGGGCAACTTGGCGAGACCTCATCTCTATGATAAATCACAAAAACTAGCTGGGTGTGGTGGCATACCTCTATAGTTCCAGATACCTGGAAGGCCAAGGAGCAAGGATCGCCTAAAGCCCAGCAGGTCAATGCTGCGGTGGCCGGGAGCATACCATTGCACTCCAGCCTGGGTGACAGGAGTGAGACTCCAACTCAAAAAAACAAACAAACCCCAAATTAAAAACTAGGTTTCTGGCTTTTCTTGAAAAATGAGAATCTGGCCCCGCTGGACCCATAGGGCAACCGGAATTGTCTGTCTGTGCTTGGAGCCTGTGTCCCCAGATAGCCAGGCCCCGCCGGCCTGCCTGGAGCTCCCACCTGCCACTGCAGGCAAATGGGTCTGCATCTCTGCAGCTCCACTATGAGCTGTGCTCCTTAGCTCAGCTGTGCTTGTGCATTGAATCCACGCCAAGGCCAGGCCTCCATTGATGGCTAAATGTCCTTTCTGGAAACACACGGTAAAAACGTGCTGTGGGAATTGAGAAAAACCAAATACCCGCCCAGGCTTGAGTGCTCACAGGGAGGAGGGTTTTGTCCAGAAGTTGCAGGACGAAGGTGAATGGTCAGAGTTCCTGCAACCAGCACAAATGAAAACAAGATCTAACCTGTATCATGGCAAATGCAAAGGGGATGGCCTGTTACCAGTGTGCAAATCATGTTGGGATTTTTTTATTGTTTAATTTCTTCTGTAATAAATAATCAGCTTGAGTTTTGAGCTATGGACTTTGGACATATTATAAGGAAGTTTTGAGGAAAGATATGTGTGTATACATGTTCGTGTGGCAGGCATGGACCACAGCTTGCAAAGCTTGGGATTTGCTACAGAAATTCAGTTTGAGAACTTTTATTTATTTATTTTTTGAGTCGAGATCTCTGTCACCCTGGCTGGAGTGCAGTGGCACGATCATGGCTCACCACAGGCTCGACCTCCTGGGTTCAGGTGATCCTTCCACCTCAGCCTCCCGAATAGCTGGAACAGGCACGCACCACCATACCTGGCTAATTTTTTTATTTTTTGCAGAGATGAGTTTTCTCTATGTTGCCTAGTCTAGTCTTCAACTCCTGGGCTCAAGGAATCCTCCTGCCTTGGCCTCCCAAAATACTAGGATTACAGTGAGCCACCATGCCCAGCCAGTTTCAGGACATTTTTATTTTTATTTTTTATTTTTTGAGTTGGAGTCTCACTCTGTCGCCCAGACTGGAGTGCAGTGGCTGCTTCCGGTCACTGCAGCCTCGACCTGCTGGGCACCAGCGACCTTCCGCCTCAGCCTTCCACGTAGCTGGAACTACAGGCGCGCGCTACCATGCCCTGCTCATTTTGATTTATTGTAGAGATGAGGTCTCGCCAAGTTGCTCAGGCGGGTCTCGAACCCGTGGGCTCAGGCAATCCACTCACCTCAGCCTCCCAACAGCGCGGGATTATAGGCTGAGCCACCGAGCCCGGCCTTCCTCAAGTTCTTAAACAGGCAGCTTGGTATGATGGGCAGTTGTCAGGTGTAACCTGAAGAACACAGGCTAGGAGTCAGCTCCTGCAACTCTGGTGACTTCTGTGAATCTTGCACCTGTTTGAGCCCATCTCTCTAAGGGCAGTCTGCAGACTGTAAAGCAACTCACACAAACAAAGGGTGTGGCCTTCTGTCCAACCTGACCACGGCCACCGGGGATTACTGTTACAACTTAAGTAGAACAAAATATTTAATACAGACAAATTGCCTGTTTGCCAGCGTGGGCCTCACATTTTAACTTAATACCACAGAAACATGTTTTCAATCTTTAATAAATCATAAGACTTTCTTAAAATGTCACCCTGTGACATGCCCTGCCCTCTTAAAACGCCCTGCCCTTGGGGATGCCCTTGTCACTTGCAGGGAATAACTGGTAAACTAGACAGACTTTGTTACAGTCCTCTAACAACTGGTATTTTTTTTTTTTTTTTTGAGTTGGAGTCTCACTCTGTCGCCCAGACTGGAGTGCA